AGAAAAGGAAAAGAAAAGGAAAAGAAAAGGAAAAGAAAAGGAAAAGAAAAGGAAAAGAAAAGGAAAAGAAAAGGAAAAGAAAAGGAAAAGAAAAGAAAAAGAAAAGGAAAAGAAAAGAAAATTTGCCTGCTAGCTCTATTAAAAGAAAAAAAAAAAAAAAAAAAAAAGATTTGACTGCTCACTAGCATTTTGACACTTGTCTTCTTTAACAGTCATGTTCATCCATCCTCTTTCTGGAGTTTAGGTAAATCCTTGGCAACCATTGTCAGATATACCTAACCTATGGGTATTTTCTTCAACTTTAATTCTTCTACAGTGTTCCATTTCTTAGACATGTCACCTTGAGACAGTAGCATGGGGAAAAAAGCACAGAAATAGAGATATGTGAAAACAACATGAAACAAAACAAAATAAATTGAAAAGTGAATGAGAAAGCACGCGAGGAAGTCTGGCAGGAAGACCTAAAATAAGTGGGATATACCAAATAAAATACCTGTCCCCATCACCAGCCTCTTCTCCTAGCTGGATCAATCTGCCAGACTCTCCATTTTTTGGCTCCTTGCTTGGTTCCCGGCAGGCAATCCCTGGGAATGAGTTGCAAGGACTCAGAGGTTGGTTCTTTGCAGTGGCTGTTCCAGGAATTGTTTCCCAGTGACTGCCTGTCTGTGTCATTCGACACTGATGTTATCTCACTGTAATTACCAGCAGCTGAGGGCAGGAGGGAGCAATGCGACTTTAACATAGGTTTTCAACTACCTAAGAGAAAAAAAAAATAAAGAAAGAAATAAGAATTAGATTCAGAACTTTTCTCACAGGCCACAAGAACAACTGAAGGTCGTTAGAGATGCAACAGTCTTATTAACTTATTAACATTATTATTATTATTATTATTATATAATATTATTAAATTATTAACAGTCTTATTAACAGATGCAACCTCTTATTAACTAAACAATTCATAAATGCACCATAAAAATAGTCCTTGATACAGAAGGATCTCTGTATCAAGAAAAAAAAACAGTTATTAACAAGTGAAGAACTGCAGCTTGGAGAAAAGAGGTCACACATGACAGCTACAATGAGATGAAGGCTAAAACTTGAATGGAAACCTCACCACTCAGGTTGAAAACTCTGAACTCCAAATTTTCAGAGTTTGCTGTAAAATCTGGTAGTGATTTAAAAAAAAAAAAAAATTGTAGTGTGTTAGTACATTAATTATTTTCCACTACAGATAAAGAAGACTTGCTTATTGAATATAATTTTGCCTTTCAAATCTGTGCTTTATTGCACAGATGTCTTTCAGGATAGAAAACAGACCATCAGGAAGACATAGATTGAAACTTTCTGAACTAGAATTTCCTCCAAAGTAATCCTTTCCTCTCCTGATCTGGAGGGTGCTACAGGGAATCCTCAGGGCAGAATTCCCTTTCAGACATGTCTTTAAAAATAGCTCTTTTAGGAAGCAGGAAAGCATTTGTGGAGGTGAGCCTGAGCAGTGGAAGCAGTCACGGAGCTTGGAGGCCACGCAGAGATGACCAAGGGGAGCACAGCAGGATGTCTTAGCTAAGCAAGCACAAATTCACACCTGTTGCCTGCAGTCTATTCACAAGAGCTAATAATAAAAAGTTTGCGCTTAACCAGAGCCCTTCATCCCTTATGATCCCAAAGCACTCAGCAAATTACCCATGCAAAGGTCATATCGACTGGTGTTGAAATCCAGCCTGTCCTGGCCATAACAATAGGAAGGAGGAAAAATATGTCCAAGGACAACAGGGTAAAATCTCACTTATAATGAAATAATATCTGGAGCTTTTTGGTGTCTTTCAGGACCTAGGATCATGAAGCAGTCTGAAGTACTGCAGCACACCACAGTATGCCAATACTTCTTTGGTTTACTTCAGAAAGAAAGAAAAGAGAAGAAAAAGAATAAATTCAAGCAACACTGCTTGAATTCAGTGCTATAGTTCCAGAGAGTTCACACATTTCAAATTTGATGCTTAGCCTTTTAAGCCATCCCCTCTAACATACCCTTTCTTTGGATTACATGTGCTGTTTATTCATTGTTTCAAGGCAATGAAATGACTCATAATGAAACTGTTCCCAGGAAAACTTGCCAGGTGAGGGAGTGTGACATTTACTAGGGGACCTATTAAGTAGAATCCAATGTAATAATACAAACAAAACAGAAAACTCCAATTCTTCTACGTGGTCCAGCCTTATCGTTCCATCTTGGGGCAGTGCAGCATATCTGTGTGAAAAGCACAATGCTTCTGTTCCACTGTGCAACCCTGAACAATCCTCTTTCACAAGTCCTGTGCCTTAAATCAAGACAATAAAAGGCCAAAAGCTCTCTGAAATGGCCTATTCAATGGCCCTGGGAGAGGAAGGCGGGAAGCGTAATATGCCACATTCTTCCAGTGTACAAAGCCAAGCACTTGTACCCAACAAAGTCAGCTGCACACCTTTGGTGACTGGAAATGTTAGTGTCAGGAG